CTATGGATGCAGAGATGGCTTCCTGGAAGTCCACAGGCACCTACGTTGACGCGGTTTCCCCTCTTGGGGCGAACATCGTCAGTGACATGTGGATCTTCAGGGTGAAGCGGCCGCCGGGCTCTCCACCTGTCTTCAAGGCACGGTACGTTGCTCGTGGCTTCAGTCAGCGGCAGGGATTTGACTACTTTCAGACCTTCTCTCCCACCCCGAAGATGACTACTCTTCGGGTGCTACTGCACATAGCCGCTCAGCGCGACTACGAGCTTCACTCTCTCGACTTCAGCACTGCGTTCTTGCAGGGTAGCCTGCACGAGGAGATCTGGCTTCGCCGTCCACCTGGCTTCACTGGGACTTTCCCTCTTGGCACCCAGTGGAGCCTCCGACGGCCAGTCTACGGTCTCCGCCAGGCACCGCGTGAGTGGCACGACACACTGAGGACTACGCTTGCGGCTCTTGGGTTTGCTCCTTCTACTGCTGACCCGTCGCTGTTTCTTCGCACCGACACTTCCCTGCCGCCGTTCTACATCCTCGTGTACGACGACGACTTGGTCTTTGCCACAGCGGACACTGCTGGACTCGCCTACGTGAAGTCCGAGCTGCTGAAGAGACACACGTGCACAGACCTGGGTGAACTGCGCAGCTACCTTGGCTTGAAGATCACTCGGGACAGAGCACGCCGCACCATTACCTTGACTCAGTCACACATGGTGCAGCAGGTCCTTCAGCGCTTCGGCTTCACGTACTCCTCGCCTCAGGCCACTCCTCTGCCTACTCGCCACTCACTCTCAGCTCTGCCTTCGGATGAGTCCGTAGAGTCGAGTGGTCCGTATGCAGAGCTTGTTGGCTGCCTCATGTACCTGATGACCTGCACTCGACCTGACCTTGCATACCCTCTGAGCATTCTTGCACGCTATGTTGCTCCTGGGAGACACAGACCAGAGCACATGGCTGCAGCGAAGAGGGTATTGCGCTACCTGTGCAGTACGTCGGGCATGGGGCTAGTGCTTGGAGGGCGGAGTCCAGTGGTCCTTACCGGCCACGCGGACGCTTCTTGGGCTGACGACCAGGCTACGCAGCGGTCGTCACAGGGTTACACCTTCAGCCTTGGTTCCGGCTCTGTCTCGTGGCGGTCTAGTCGCTCGTCTTCGGTTCTCGGCTCCAGTTGTGAGGCTGAGATCTACGCCGGGGCCATGGCTGCACAGGAGCTTCGCTGGCTCACCTACTTGCTGACTGACCTTGGAGAGCCGCCTCGTTCTCCTCCAGTGCTGTACGTAGACAACAAGGCCATGCTGGCCTTGTGTCGAGAGCAGCGCTTGGAGCACAGAACGAAGCACATTGCTCTCCGCTACTTCCTTGCTCGTGAGCTGCAGCAGCGTGGTCAGTTGCGACTTGCGTACGTGGCCTCTGAGGCCAACACTGCTGATGTGTTCACCAAGGCACTAGCGCCTTGTGACCATCAGCGCTTTTGCACCCAGCTGGGTCTTGTACCTGTCTTGCCTCACTTGCTCTCCTCTTGACTTCACTTGTACTGTGACATATATATATACTTGCTCTTGTTTGTCTAGTTTTATATATATGTCTGTACTCCTGCATGTGAACTGGCCTCTGGCCCTGCTCTTGTGCTCGGACTGTGTGGTGACTTTGTGATCCACCCTGAGCTTGCTTTGCTTTGCTTTACTTGACTGGTCTTGTGACCCCTTGTTCTCCCCCACTTTGCCTATGGGGGTGTGTCAGATTATCATAGTTGATGCATGTTTGTAGGCTATAGTGGGGTAGCACATATGGGGTACAGCTTTCTAGGGTTGTATTTGTACCCAACCCTGACTTAGTCATTCATCCCTGTTCACTTGTTTCACAGTTCTCGCGGTGTTGCCCCACGTGATTGTTGCGCGCGTTTAACCGAATGTCGCATTCTCCTCCGAAATTGTAGGCGCTCCTCGCCGTAAAACCGGTAAGTCCCCACGTAAAAACTCCGAAATAGTCGCTCGAATCAAACCCCGTAAATCCGCAGTTGCAGTTGCAGTTCGCCTCCGAAAATCTCGGACGTGCTATAGCAGCCCACTCGGTCACCATCAGTTTACGTCAGCTACCCGACCCCAGCATGTGGGTTCAATCGAGAACCGGGGATTGCCCTGGGTTATTCCGAGACCGAATTTCACGGAACCTAGTGGCATCAACGTCGTTGACTTCGTAGTCGAAAACTGCTCCAGTCGATGTCGCTTAACAAAAATTCCTGTTTCTCCCACCAGCGCTTCGCAGATGTTTCACCACATCGCTCGTCGCCGGTCGATAGATCCCGAAGCTACGACTGCTCCCACGCTCCTCTTTTTTTGAAGAAATTCCCGAGGTGTGCGTTTAAACACCGGGGGTCCTAGGTATCCTTGCCGTTGTGTTTCTTGCCAGGCAACTTCGAAAAGTGCTCTTCAGGCGAAGTCCCCCAACGTCTCAACCGCACTCCAAGAAGCGAAGAAATACCCGCAGCTTCATAATTTTTTGGTCGTTTCACCCCCCGAAAATTCCGCTTCCCGCCGTTCACCCAGCGTCCGCATTTTTCAGATGGGGTATAGTCGGTGTTGCCCGCGCGAACCCAGCCACGGTGGAGGGGCAAAAACTATCGGAGTCGGGGACCCTTAATTAAAAGGAACAGTCGCCCAACCGTTTTGCAGCCCACCGCGACCGTCACGCCACTAAACTCCACAGCATCCCGGTCCCCGCTTTGCCACTGCGTCGTCACCTCGTGTAGACGCCCGGGTAAGGAGAAACCAGCGAACTGCCCCAATGTTGTCATGCGGCACCCCGATTTTTTTTGCGTGCTGTTTCACCTAGTCCGCTTTTGTCGGGGTAGAACAGTGCCGCAACTCCACCTTTTTTGTATTTTCTGTACAGCTGTCGAACGAGCACCAATCCAGGTACCGTTAACCAGCACAAGGTAGGCCCGTGTTCACCCCCGTTATTTGGCCTAGCATGTTGACTGCATGAGTCAGAACTAGAAACTTGGTGGGGATGGTGAGGTTCGGGCGACGGAAGGTCACAGATCATTCACACCGGCTTTTAACCTGCCCTTCACGCCGTTCTTCAACCCCCGCTTAGCCGTCGGGCAGTTTCTTCTCGTGTGTCCCGGCGGCCTGTACCAACTCCTCCGTAAATGTTGGCGTGGTACCTTGAACACCGTTGAATCTTGGGCTGTTGAGGCTGTCCCCGAAAATGACTTCCTTACAGGGAATCCACTCTCGAAATTGCCGGCCAGCAGTCAACAGTACCAGGCACGCAGCGTCATCCGAGTGTTCTTCGGGGTGTATGGGCCCGAATTGCCCTCGCCGCCTGCGTCCCACTCCTCCTGAGTGCGATATAGCCACTCCGTTTTCTGTTGCAACCCGTAAGTGTCGGCGGGTCTGAAGTTCCCGTCTGTCCACGTGCGCTCCTGCCGAAATCTTCGATGACGCGCCCGCCATGCAGTAAAAGCCGCTGCACTTCAGGTCGGGCGGGACGACAGTTGACCCCGCACAATTCGGGCAATTCGCGTGTCGTCTCTCCTCGTCCACCGATATTTTCGGACGCAAACTCCATTTGCGCCTGGCGAGTTCCCCAACCGACTTTTCTTCAACAGTTGCTCCGAACTTGTCGCCCACAGTGACGCACGTTCCTTGTCGCCAGCTGCCGAGCCACACTCCGTGAGTCACGCGCGCAAAATGACGACGAGCCACCGTCGTAACTTGCCGCTTCAGACGAACTCTGGAGTTGTCGCGCAGCTGTTGACCCAGGTCCGACGGCGTCAACTGCCACACACGTTGACGACTCCGCGAATTTCGTGCAGGTGCCGACGCAGGTCCGCTGACGCCAGCTGCCACACAAAACGTCCGAAATCGTCGGTAAATCGCAGCGAAAATTACTCACATAAACGTCGCGACAGCTACAGCTGCCCGTTGCCCGGGGGGAGGGAGGCCACGGTCGATCGCGACGGTTCGAGGTAAGGATCTGGCGGTGCCGAAGGAATACCCGTAAAACCATGGCCGCGAGGAGCAACTAACTCATTCTCCTGGCCGGCCTACGCAACTCCTGGACCCCAAGACATCCTTCCTCGTCCCCCCCCCGAGGAGTATTACACTCTAAAAAGCGGGGTAGGCTAGGAAAGTATCTCTGATACCAGGTGTTATGAATGAACTTGCAGAGTGCGCAGTAAAACGAATATCGAGAATGATTGAGTACTGAATTACTGAATGACGATACAAGAAAGGTACGACTAAATAGGGGAAGTCCTAGCTAGGCGGAGAGGTTGGGCGAGGATGGCTCGGTGATGGTTGCGATTGGAGCGGAGGCAACTCGGGAGTGGTTCGGTGCGACGAAATAGGAAGGACAGGTTCGTCGCGTGACCCTCGGGATGTCCTTGCTAACGAGTGCCTGAGTAAGGATTTGTAAATCCTTACATTGCAGCAGGAGGGTTTTCTGTCTAATCCCACAATTTACAGATCCTAGACAGAAGCCGAAGGTTGTAGACTTCTCTCCTATCACCTCATGGCTCGAGTAGTGGTTCTGTGAAGTGGTCGTCTTGTCAGCTGAGCAGCATCATGCACGGGTTGGGCTGTCAAAGAAGGCCGACGGCCGTCATTGCGCACAGCATCAAAATTGAGCAGGTGGACAGAAGCTGAGTGAGCGAGAATCACAAATCGGGGCAAAGGCAGGCTCGTCAAGTTATGAAACCCTCCACTTGTAGTACTGTACTGCTGCCATGTGAGTAGATTTCGTATTCAAGTTTGCGCTTGCGAGCGACTTACAAAACGTTGGGTGTGACGTTCCTGCGACGACTCCACCTAACAATCTCCAATTGACCAACCTACCCTCCAATCGCGACTCACGATTCTCCCGAGGGCTGCCGCGCGCGACTGCCTAATTGAAGCCACTTCGCGATGTTTGACACTCGCGACGCCCTTTCCCCGTCCACGCGAGCGCACGAGCCCATCCCTACCACTGGTAAAGGCCATACCAAAGGCCATCATGCTGCTATGCCTCGTACCACTAGCGGCGGTAAATTCCCGGCTGCGTGGGAGTCGGCTATGTGGCCATGGCCGTCCCCGATACCCGCCGGGAGTCACCGCCTCGTCGCTCTCATGCTCCTCGCGGCCGTTGCGGCGCTTTTCATGGCGGGATTTCTCGCGTCGCCCGCGCAGATTGGCTCGCCGCCGCGGCTGGGGGACGGCGCGTGGTGGGCGGCGGCGCCCGCGGAACGCGAGTGGCGGAAGGCGGGACCCGGCGCCGGCGGTGATGCGGCGTGGATGGCGGCGGGAATGGAGGGCGGCGGAGGGGAGGAAGGTGGAAGGGGGGAGGTGCTGCAAGGGCAGCGGGACCAGGCAAGCGAGCAACAGCAGGAGCAGTTGAATCGACAGAAAGGCGGAGAGCAGCAGCAGACAGGCCAGCAGCAGACAGGCCAGCAGCAGGCGTGGAGTGAGGGGGACGAGGCGAATGTGGTAGAGAATTCTAAAGAACGCAGTCAAGAAGCGGTCTCTTCAGACGGAAGCAGCGAGTGGGCGGAAGCGCAGCAGCAGCAGAAGCAGACACAGCCACAGGAGCAGCCACAGCCACAGGAGCAGCCACAGCCACAGGAGCAGCCGCCGCAGCCGCCACACTCGCGGCCGCTGTCCCCGCAGCAGAAGAAGGCGTTCCGGAAGGAGGCAGCGAGAGCAGCGGCGCGCGGCGAGAGGTACTACCTGGTGTGGTCGCCCACGTGGGACCGGTGCGTGGGGCAGTCGCACTGGTCGTGGACGCTCAAGTGCGTGGCGGCCGAGGCGAAGGCGCTAGGCCGCACGCTCGTGCTGGTGACGGATAGATGCCTGTCGCAGATGCACTCCAAGAGCGGGCTCATGGAGCACAAGCACGTGGGGCTGTACTACAACCTCACGCACATGATGAGGTGACACGGAGGGGTGGGGTGCGTGCGGTAGGGTGGGGTGGGGTGCGGAGGAATGCGGTGGGATGGGGGCTTGTTAATCGACTTATTAGAGCGGGCTCATGGAGCACAAGCACGTGGGGCCGTACTACAACCTGACGCACATGATGAGGTGACAGAGGGGTGGCATGGGGTAGGGTGGGGCGTGGCTGGGTGCGGTGGGGTGCGGTGATTTCTGAGGCGACTCATTAGAGTGGGCTCATGGAGGTGGGGCTGTACTGCACTACAGTCTGACCCACATGATGAGGTGGCGGGAGGTGGGGTTGGGGTGGGGTGCGGTGCGGTGGGGTGTGGTGTAAGTGGTGCTGTGTTGGGGTCCTGAAATGGGTTGTGAAGTCAACCCTCCGTGTTTCCCCGTCCCCTCCTCCCTCCCCCACATTCCCCCCGTCCTCCCCTCGTCTTCCCCCGTCCTCTCCAATCCTCCCCCCGCCCCCCCCCCCCAAATCTTACTCTCTTCCTCTCCTCATCCTCCCCCCGTCCTCTCCCCTTCCTCCCCTGTCCTCCCCCCATCCTCCCCCCGTCCTGCCCTCATCCCCCTCCGTCTTTCGTCCGTCCCCCCCCCACCCTCCCCCCGTCCTCCCTCCATCCTCCCCCCGTCCTCCCCTGGTCCTCCCCCCATCCTCCCCCCCATCCTCCCCCCGTCCTCCCCTGGTCCTCCCCCCATCCTCCCCCCCATCCTCCCCCCGTCCTCCTCCCGTCCTCCCCCTCCCCAGCCGGCAGCCAGTGATGCTACTGGAGCAGTTTGAGGCGCGCTTTGGCCCGTGGCACGCGGCGCCGCTGCTCTACTTTGACATGAGGCCGCGCACGGGCGAGCTCGCCGCGCACAGGGACGCCTTCCTGGTGGTGCGCGTGCCACAGGAGCAGCAGTTCGGGTACATGGTGTGCTACAAGAAGACCAACCAGGTTCGCGCCTGTACTCCAGGTGAGCAGTTTGGGTTTATGTGGGTGCTGCTCAAGGCGCACGGTGCTGATTAGACGTGTGTGACATGCAACACGCATCCCTCTCCCCCCTTCTCTCTCTCTCCTCTCTTCCCTCCCCACTCTCCTCTCCCCTCTTCCCTCTCCCCTCTCCCCTCCAATCTCTCCCTACGAAGCCTTGTCTTGAGTAATTGTGTCAGCTCTTCATACAGTCCTGTCACCTCCCAAGATGTTTGATAGCAGAATCCGGATTTTGCTGAGATTAAGGTGTTATACGTCTTTAGTCTTTGCCTCGGTCTTGCAGACCTCCCGTCTCCTGTGTAACCACTCGTTCACGTTACATGTACTCATTTTTGGGACAGTTAGGAAACGAAACTGCACCAGTGTGCAAATGCGTGCGTGCATGTGCGTCACACCAAGTCACCCGTCCCACTGGGTTCTCTCTTTCATTCCCACACGCACTCACATACACCTGTCTTCCTGCACCTGCATCCCCTCGCCTTCATCCCCTCGCCTACATCCCCGCACCTGCATCCCCGCACCTGCATCCCCGCCAAGGATAAAAAATACGACCGAAATATTGATTTTAGGGCCGTATGATACGGTATCGTATTATACGGTCGTTTAAAACGGTTTAGTACGGTTAAATGTTATTTTTAAATTTCGATTAAAAATACGATCGTTTTTTTCGACCGAAATTTTAGAAAGGAGAAAGTGTACACCAAATTCAACAATCAGCCCCGTCGAGTTCGTTTTGGGGGTTTTCGTGAGAAGTCTTGTCAGTCTCGCTCGAATTTGGCCCGAGTCGCGCATGTCAGGAAAATGGTGTGGCGCGACATTTTGACATCTGACGAACGGTATAAAACCGCTTACCCGTTTCGCTGAGTCGTTTGAGTAGTTCGCCGAATCGCGACGACACCAAATTTCCGAGGCTCGGAAATGTACACCATTGGCGAACCCCTTCAACCTTGGTACCCGTTTCGCGGGATCGTTAGCACAACTTGCGCGCTGGGTTTATTTTTCGCCCCCAATCCTGACGCCTCGCACAATTCTCGCGACACAATTCCAGCCAATAGTAATATGCCAATCCGTCTCCCATCCACGTCATCCATTCTTCAAACACCCCTCGACAAAGCAGCACAAAGAGATACATATTGGAGGAGGAAAATCCCATTCGACACATCCTCTCTCTGGCTGCCGTATCTCAGAACAACAGTCTCTGACCCACGCTTTCTCAGCATAGTCTAGTGGAACGCCATGGTGCGCCCCGCTTCTCAGTTTTGGGAGCACGTCATTAAGATTAAGGATGACGAAGGCAACGTAGTCGGTGCTACCTGCATTCATTGCAAGAATCCTGTGACGGCTAATGCGACTAGGATAGGCGAGCACATGTTCGGCACTAACAAGAGGGACAAGAACGTTGCGATGTGCAAGTCGGACTATGCTAAGCAGCTGCGGGCGACAGCCGATCAGGAGCGCTCGACCACGGAAAATTCTACTGGAGGATCAACCCGTGCCTCCACATCCTCGGTGGAGGCGCCGCCCGTGCGTCGCTTCCGGCAGCGAGATATCCGTGATATGACGGACCAAGTTGCGCATAATCGCCTGGATTACCTGTGGGCTGATGTAGTTGCCGAGAACGATCTCGCCTTCAACGTCAGCAAGTCGAAATCGATCCAGGCGTTCGTTGACGCGGTGATCATGTACGCGAAGCCGTACACCCTCCCAACCCCGTACAAGGTATTCGGCCCATTACTGGACAAGCTGAAGGCGGACTCCGAGGACCTGCTGCGGCCGGTGAAGGAGAGCTGGAAGACCAGCGGGTGCTCGCTCTCCGTCGATGGATGGACGGACATCAAATCCCGCGGTTTTGTGTGTGTCATCGCGCAAAATGACACCGCACCCGTCATTGTCGACATCGTTGACTCGAAGACCGCCAAAAAAATCGGGGACTACTTGGCAACGCTTATTCAAGGAGCGATCACCACGGAGGGGCCGAAGCATGTCGTCCAAGTCGTGATGGATAACGCTTCGAACATAAAAAACGCCGCCAACAAGCTAAGCGCAGATTATCCCCATATCTTCTTCACCAACTGCGCCGCCCACTGCCTCGACCTCATGCTGCACGACATCGGCAAGATCCCTGCGGTGAAACTCGTCCTTTCCCAAGTGATCAAGTCGTGATGATGATCAAAGGCTCCGCCTCGGCCGAGGTCTTGTTCCGTGAGCTTTTTACCAAGCTCTCGCTGGTGCGGCCTGGTGCAACGAGATTTGGCACCCAGGTCATCATGCTCGGCAGGTTCCTTGAGGTGAAGCGCGCGTTGAGGGCGATGGTAATCAGCGAGGAATGGGAGGATGTAGCGGTGGCACGGACGGAGGAGGGGATGGAGGTTAGGAAGCTGCTTTTGGACGACGTTTTTTGGGACTGTGGGACGGCCGTGCACCGCCTCATGACTCCCATCTACGAGGTTCTCCGCGCCGTCGACACACGGGCTCAAGTCATGGGGCAGCTGTACGGCCTCATGCTTGAAGCCACGGTGAAGACTAATGCGGCGGCTGAGACGGCTGTTGAGTGAGACAGCTGAAAGTATTACGCGATGGGTATTGATTGTTAATCTCTCCACCCACCCGCTCATGCTTCCTATCTAATTAGTGCTCTTTATTCACTGTGAGCAGCCGCACACTTCATCAAGCGGACGGGTCTGCTGTTGCCGAAGGACAGGAGCACTTTCCTCACCTCCATCAAGGTGATCATTGCCAGGAGGTGGGACGCACAACTGCACAACCCCCTGCACGCCATCGGATGGCTCCTCAACCCCCGTAACCAGTACATTGGGGAGGTAAGGAATGACAAGGAGATTAGGAAGGGGGTGGATGAGGTAATCCAGACCCGGGGCGGGGATGTGCAGCAGCGCATAACGCTAGCTGCACAGGTGGCTCAATTTCACCGAGGGGAGGGCAGGTTGGGCTCTGACGATGCCCGTTGGGCAGCAACTACCTTGGTGGAGGCGGGGCGCATGACGGAGGTGGAATGGTGGTTCATGTTTGGTGGGGAGGTGCAGGCGCTCCAAGACCTGGCTGTGACGTCTTTGTCACAGCCAGTCACCTCCTCCGAAGTGGAGAGGTACTGGTCGGCGCTGGCACGTGTGCAGAGGCGCGACCGGAACCGCCTCACGGCGAAGAAGATGACTGACGTCACCTTCGTCGCCTTCACCCGGCGGGCCCGTGATGCCTTTGATCGAAAGGCAGCCCTGCGTTCCAAGCTCTATCAGGACCTGGGCAACGGCACCCTCAGGGAAGGGGCTGCCATCATCCCGGCCGAAGTGGAGGTGGAGGAAGGGGATGCGGAGGAGGAGGCACCCGTGGAGGAGGAATGCACCATTGATTGGTCGGAATTTGGGAGCATCGGCAAGAAGAGGAAAGGGAAGGCGGGTAAGTCATCTAAAGGGAAGAAGAGGGGGAAGGGCAACGGTGCATGCAAGGGAAAGGGGAAAGGAAAAGCAGGGGATGCGGAGGAGGAAGAGGAGGCGGAAGAGAGCGGTGGGGAGGAGGAAGAGCCTGCCCTGAATCCCAAGGGGCGATATGCCTGGGATTGCAGCGACGGTTCAAGTGGGGAGGAGGAGGAGGAGGAAGAGGATGACGAGGAGTATGACGGTTAGAGTGGGGAGGGAGGAGGAAGAGGATGACGAGGTGGTGGAGTAGAAGAATAGAAGGCAGCAGGGTGAGTATAGTGGGGTGGGGATGGACTTAGGAGGAGATATAGGCTAAAGGCCGGTACTTGCCTAGGTATGCATAGGGGTAGCGGCAGAATTATTGGACCTTAGCATGCCTGTTTCTCCTTATTGTAGGTTGTTATCGGTTTCCTAGTCTTTGTTGTAGCCATTTCAGTAGATTCTGACTCAAAAAGGGCCAACAAAAAAACGACAAATTTTTTGGAAAACCGAACGTATTATACCATCGAAAAAAACGCCCCGTATAATACGATAGCCGTATTTTTTATCCTTGATCCCCGCACCTGCATCCCCGCACCTGCATCCCCACACCTGCATCCCCGCACCTGCATCCCCGCACCTGCATCCCCGCACCTGCATCCCCGCACCTGCATCCCCGCACCTGCATCCCCGCACCTGCATCCCCGCACCTGCATCCCCGCACCTACATCCCCGCACCTGCATCCCCGCACCTGCATCCCCACACAAACCAGGACGTGGTAACACCAGACCTGGACTTTCTCCGCCCGATCGACCCACACATGAAGATCGCACTAACCATGGCGAACGCCATGGGCGGCGCGCAGCAGTTTGACTTTGTGCACGTGCGGCGCGGGGACAAGGTCAACCCCAAGCTGTGGCCCCACCTCGACCACGACACGCGGCCCAAGGCGTGAGTGCTGTGCACGACTCTGTTTTTCAGTCGACTAAAATACACGCGGCCTAAGGCGTGAGTGCTGTGCACGAATGTGACCCTCTGTTTCTATCGAGCGCACGGAATGGAGGGTGTTAGTCGTGCAAGGGACTGATGCTCATGCTCATGCTCATGCTCATGCTGGTGCCAATGGAGGTGTGGTGTGCTGCTGATGGTGATGCTGTAGTGATGGTGATCAGTGGAAGGCATGAGGGTCTGTGTGTATCATTACACATGCCACCCCCTCCCCTCCCCCATGCCACCCCATTCCCCCATGCCACCCCCTCCTGCTCTCCCCCAGCCTCCTGCAGAAGCTCCCTCAGCGAATCCCTCCGGGCAGCACACTCTACATCGCGACCAACGAGCGGGACCCGTACTTCTTCGACCCGCTCCTGGCAGTCTACAAGCTCTACAAAGAAGAATACTTTGCAGAGATGTGGGCCGAGGGCTCTGTGTGGGAGCGGGAGATGCGTGTGGTGGCGGCAGGGGTGGGCGTGAAGGGGCGAGTGGAGGCGGACAGTGAGGTGCTGGTGCTGGTGGACTACCAGCTCAAGTCCCTTGCACGGACTGCTCTTGAGACGTTCAATGACCTCACGGACGATCCCCGGGATGGTGAGTCGTGTGGTGGGGATTGACAGTGCGGTGTTTGGGAGTGGGGGGGACGTGGGCACGGATGTCGCATGGGTGGGTGATTGTGCGCCGTTTAGTGTGCATTACAGGGTGGTGTGTTTCATAGCGGAGCGGATGGTTTCTTCTCAGGTTGCTTGTGAGAGGCATGGCAGTCCAAGGCAGTGCACCATGCAATGGCAATGCCATGCAACACCATACACTTGGGCATTGTATGTCTTGCAATGGGATGGATGTGGTCGCATGGCAAAGTGTGCTGTATGCCATGGAATGCATGCTCACTGCTGTGCCATATCTCTCATACTGTATTGTTCAATTTTGCTCGCTCCTGAGTAGGTATCTACCATGTAGACTTCTTTTCTCTCTTATCCCACAGATCCTGTCCTCTGCCATGCCTCTCCTCACCAACCTCGCACTCGCCTTCCACATTCCCGCGTCCTGTGCAGGAATTTTGGTGGCTGGAGGAAAGAGCTGAGAGGGTAAAAAAGTGCTGCTGAACATTGGCGCAATAAGGTTGATCCCACTTGTAACATGATGTCCTCGAAGTTTAGGTTAGCCCTGCATCTACCGTTTGTGTTTGTATCCTTTTTGTATCTATTATTTTAGCTGCAATAGTACAGTACTAGAAGGCGATTGTTTGCTAGAAAACAATATCTTGCCTGTGAGATCTACATCATAACCACGGCTAATTTTTGGTTTTGAGCAGCCCTTGTGATCAGTGTTGCACAAGTTCAAAAACCTGATTATCAGTGTGACACCTTGTTCAAACCCTGATCCATTGGTGTATTTCTTGGTTTTGAAAATCAAATCTTGTGGCATCAGTGTACCAGTTTAGCAGACCCTGGTGAATAGATTGGTAACAAACTACGGTACTAATGTTTGTCAGTTGGCAAGAAGCTGAAATTCCTGTATCAACAGTTGGCAATCGGTAATCCCGGGTTACGGTTAAGGGGGAGTGGGGGAAGTTGGGGGGGGGGGGGGGGGGGGGGGGGGGCGGTTATGGTACACGCTTCAGGGTAAAACTCGTTATGAAGAACGGTAACCCTGAGGCATCAGTGTGCCCTAAATGTAAACCCTGGCATATCAGGATACGGTAATCCTAGCTCCACAAAAAATTACCCTAGGCGATTAGTGTGACTACCAAAAACCACCCTGATAATCAGGGTATTAGGGCGATTTGACAAATTATATGTATGATATATATGTTTAGGCTGTAGTGGGGTAGCCAATATGGGGTACAACCCCTTTTAGGGTTTCATACTTGTACCCAACACTTTCCTAGTTCATTGATTCCTGCCTAGACTTCTGACATGGTATTCAGGGCAGTAGGTCCGTAGGACCGTTTTTTTTTTTTTCGGGCCCACCTATCGCTACCCCACAACTGAGACTGTGACTGTGCCTAGGACGTGCTGCGTTGCGCGCACTGTCTGCCTGCTGCCTGCTGTTTGCTGCAGCTTCGCGCGCGCAGACCTAATTCCTGCGTGCTGCCCCCCTTTTGCCCTGCGCGTCGCCCTGCCTGCTCGCGTCGCGCCTCGGCAGCCGCGTCGCGCCCCGCCGCCCGCGCAGCCCGCGTCGAGCTCGCACAGCGCGCGTGCACGGCCCGCAGCTGCCCCGCGCACTGCTCGCGCCGCCCGCACCGAGCCCGCGCAGCGCGCGTGCGCGGCCCGCAGCTGCCCCGTGCACTGCTCGCGCCGCCCGCACCGAGCCCGCGCAGCACGCGCGCGGTCCGCAGCTGCCCCGCGCACCGTCCGCGCAGCCCGCGCCGCGCTCTGACAGCCCGCGCCCCGCTCTGACAGCCCGCGCGCGGCCCTCTGCAGCCACGCGCGCTGCCCTACCTGCTCGAGCCGCGCCTCAGCAGCTTGCGTGCGGCCTGCTGCTGCCCTGCGAGCTGCCTGGGCTGCGTGCGCCTGCCTTGAGCGCCGCCCTTACTGCTCGCGCCCTTTGCCTGCTGCCTGCTGCCTACTGCCTTTGCCTACTGCCTTTCCCTGAACTGCGATAATGGTGACACTTAATGTTCTCGCGTTTGAGCCTGACGGTCGCCCGATAGAGTTCGCCACGTGGCTCGACAATCTCCAACTGTTTCTTCTGACTGATGCCAAAGACGGCGTTTCACTGTTCGATTACGTGTCTGGCACTGCCGTTGCTCCTGCTGACGATGCTACCGCTCTTGAACGCTCACAGTGGCAGACTCGCTATGCTGCTGCACGCCTAGCTATTCGAAATCATCTGCCGATCACTGAGCACGCGCATTTCAGCCAGCACAAAACTACTAAGGCACTGTATGACGCTGTAGTTACGCACTACTCCTCCCCGGCCACTGCAGCCCTAGGTCGGCTCATGCTACCCTACCTGTTCCCAGACCTGTCCTCGTTTACCACTGATGAGGACCTCATTTTTCACCTTCGCACTAGTGATACTCGCTTTCGTGCCGCCCTTCCAGCCAAGTTCTGCGCCGAGAACCCCCCCCCCCCGATGTACTTCACTCTCTATTTCCTCGTCACCCACCTCCCTGACACTCTTAGCTCCGTCAGGGACCACTTCCTAGCCCTAGACCCTACCACTCTCACTGTCGCTGACTTCGAGAAGCACCTCCTAGCAGCAGAGAAGAACATCCTTGCTGTAGGTGCTGCTCGTGGTACTCCTCGCACTCCCCTCTTTGAGGGGTGCTCCCCCTCCCCTCTTACCCCCTCCTATGCCTCCGCAGCTGTTGCTGTCGACCTCCTTGGTGCTGAGAAGGTTGCAGCTGCTTCCGCTCCTAGTGGGAAGCGCAGCGGCTCCAGGGGAGGCAGGGGTGGCAGGGGTGGCAGACGTGGGGGTGGAGGGGGCGGTGGTGGAGGCGGCGGGGGAGGTGGAGGTGGTGGGGGTGGTCGTGGGGGTGGAGGTAGTGGTGGGGGCGGTGGTGGTGCTGGGAGCAGTGGCGGAGGGGGGAGCGGTGGCGGCGGCGGTGGTGGCGGAGGGGGGAGTGGTGGTGGCGGCGGTGGTGGGGGCTTGGGTGAGACCAGTGGTGGCCAGGGGCAGCAGCAGCAGCAGCAGCGTCCGCGCCAGACCCCCACTTCCCAGCAGCTTCATGACTGGTATGCCGGGCGTGGGGCGTCTGGGGGTCCTGGTCGCTGCCCCTATATCATTCGCGCAGGTCTTCGCGCTGGTCGCCAGTCCACAGGCTCGGCTCGGCTCGGCTCAGCGACGCCTCGCGCGTCAAGTTTTCTGATGCTACTGAGTTCCCCAACTGGGTAAACCTGCTTAGGCGTGATGTACCTATCTTTGATCTTTACTATGATGCTATTCTTACTGCCATGTATGCATTGACTGTTAGTGCTGAGGGTGACTGCTACTTGTGTGTGCCGCCTCATCCCGGTATAGCCCCAGGAATAGCGCCTGCAGCTCTAGGTGCTCGTGAGTCTGCTCCCCCTGGTACTGCGTCCGCACAGGCCTTGCACACCTTTACACTTGACTCTGGTGCTTCCTGCTGTTTCTTTTGCGACAGCACCACAGTCACTCCCCTCCATGCACCTGTCCCTGTCTCACTTGCTGACCCCTCTCGGGGCCCAGTGCTTGCACTGTCTTCCACTGTGCTTCCGTGTCCGGCGGTCCCGTCTGGTGAGCTGTCTGGTCTCCACCTCCCCTCGTTCTCTACAAACTTGGTGAGCAAGGCCGTCCTTCAGGATCATTGGGTTGACACCTTTATTCCTGGAGGGCAGCGTGTGGCGATCTGCACGTATTCTCGGACCGGCCGCTACCTGGCCATGTTCACCCGTGAGCCTGGTTCAGTCAGTACACCCTCACCACTGTGTTGTGCTCTGCCCCTTTGTCTCCTCAGCTGTACGCGTCTGCTCAGGTAGCTACCCAGTGTGAGTGTCGTCGCCTGTCACACCAGACTCTCCTTTGGCACCACCGCCTTGGTCACCCCTCCCTGCCTCGCCTTCGTGGCATGCACTCTCGCTCCCTGGTCTCTGGTCTTCCCAGGTCTGTGCCTGCCCTCCCTCCCTCGCCTGCGCCCCCCTGCATTCCTTGCACCGAGGGACGGTAGCGCGCCGCTCCTCACTCCTCCTCGTTTCCTCCCACAGAGGCTCCGCTGCAGACTCTCCACCTGGACGTGTCGAGCCCAGCCCGCGTCCAGGGACAGGGCCACGAGTGGTACTTCCTGCTGGTTGTCGATGACTACACGCCTTACACCGCGGTCTTCCCCTTGCAGCGCAAGGGGGAGGTCCATGATGTTTTGATCCCCTGGATCCGTGTTGTTCGTCTCCAGCTCCGCGAGCGGTTTCAGTTGGACTTTCCTGTACTGGGTCTGCACTCTGACAGAGGTGGTGAGTTCTCCTCCGACCTCTTGCGAGCCTATAGTGAAGAGCACGGCATCTGCCAGACGTTCACGCTTCCGGCCTCTCCGCAGCAGAATGGGGTTGCTGAGCGCCGCATTGGCTTAGTCATGGAGGTTGCTCGTACCTCCATGATCCATGCGGCTGCCCCCCATTTTCTGTGGCCGTTTGCGGTCCGGTACGCCGCGCATCAGCTCAACCTCTGGCCCCGTGTCTCCGTGCCGGAGACTTCGCCCTCACTACGTTGGACGGGGGAGGTTGGCGATGCGTCGCGTTTCCGAGTCTGGGGTGCCCGGGCCTTTGTCCGCGATACCACTGCGGACAAGCTCTCCCCTTGCGCCATTCCCTGCGTCTTCCTTGGCTTTGTCCCTGACGCGCCTGGCTGGCAGTTTTACGACCCCGCCTCGCGCCGTGTCTTTCTGTCTCAGGACGTCACCTTCGACGAGTCAGTCCCCTTCTACCGTCTCTTTCCCTACCGCACTGCCCCTCGCCCCCCCCCCCCCCCCCCCCCTGCCGCTCTTTCTCGCTCCAGGTCCTCCCCAGGTAGACCCACTCCCCACGCCAGGTCCTGCTCCTTCAGGTGTCTCTCAGGTAGACCCTCCGATGCCTGCGACTGTGGAGGTCACTGGTAACTCAGGCCCTGCTGGGAGTGGTCCTGCTCGGGGTGCTGTCTCTTGGGGTGCTGAGCCTAGGGGCGCGAAGCCTGAGTGTGAGGAGCCTGGGGATGCTGAGCCTGGGGGTGCGGAGCCTGAGTGTGAGGAGCCTGGGGGTGCTGAGCTTGGGGGGTGCAGAGCCTGAGTGTGAGGAGCCTGGGGGTGCTGACCCTGGGGGTACGGAGCCTGGGGGTGCTGAGCCTGAGCGTGAGGAGCCTGGAGGTGCTGCGCCTGAGCGTGTGGAGGCTGGAGGTACTACGCCTGGGGGTGTTGCGTCTGGGGGTGCTGCGCCTGAGCGTGAGGAGCCTAGGGGTGCTGAGTCTGGGGGTGCGGCGCCTGAGGGTACTGAGACTGCTGGTGCGCGGTCTCCTTGGAGAGGTCGCCTTCGTCCGTGTACGCCTCTCTCCCCTCAGTAGTTGCACGAGTGGTACGCTAGCCCTGCTGGAGCTCGAGGCTCTGCAGCTGGGAGTGGTGCTGGTACTTTGTCTACAGGAGGTGCTTGAGTC